TCTTTATTTATATTAAGAAAATATTTTAAAAGGAGAATTAAGAAAACCTTGTATAGAATTAAGAAAAGAATGTATAATGGAAATAACATGTTTTAAAAGAATACACTTAATCTCAAACTTAATGCATGCTATAAGGATATAGAATGTTATGTTCTTTATATTAAGAAAATATTTTAAAAGGAGAATTAAGAAAACCTTGTATAGAATTAAGAAAAGAATGTATAATGGAAATAACATGTTTTAAAAGAATACACTTAATCTCAAACTTAATGCATGCTATAAGGACACATATAGAATGTTATTTACAGTTTAATTAGATGTTTGTTTAAATGTATATTAAATACAGTTAGTTGAAATACCCACTTAAGAAGGATTTAAAGACATCTTCATATAAAATGAATCTCACAATTACTTATATTGTCTTTGAAATATGGTTAAAATGTACTGCCAAATGGTAAACCATTGTAAAAATGACAAAGTATACTTGAGAAACAGAGTCATGAAAGTGTGCTCTCTTAGCTTAAGCCTCGTCTGTGAAACCTGGGGCAAGAGTTCAAAATTTGGCCATAACTATAAGGGACAGTTCACCAAAAAATGCTAATTCTGTCATCATTTACTTGCCCTCAAGTTGTTCCAAACCTGTATGAGTTTCTGTCTTCTGCTGAACACAAAAAAAGATATTCTGAAGAATGTTGGTGACCAAACAGTTGACGGTAGCCCTTGACTTCTGTAGTATTTTTTTTTTTTTCATTCTGTGGAAGTCAATGGCTATTGTTATTGTTAACTGTTTGGTCACCAACATTCTTCAAAATATCTTCTTCTGATTAAAGAATTTTCATTTTTGGGCAAACTGTCCCTTTCATTGATGTCTATTCAAATGTATAGCTGACTAAATAAGACTATGTTATGCTAGATGTTTGGCCAATTTTTTGGAAGGCTCTTAAAATATATAACACATAACCCTCTCCATTGTATAACATATATATGTTCTCACATATTGCCACAGATATTGCACACAAAAAGAAGATGGCTCAAAGTTCAGAATTCAAAAATTACATTTTATCCATTAAGGGAAAGCCTGCAATCTCACTTTTTTTAAGTGAGTCTACGCTTAATGGCCTTTATTGCATTAATTAATATTACATTATCTGCAAGTACAGTTTTTACTTTTAAGTACACTAGTGCATATTTACTAGAATTAATCACACTTTGCAAGGGATTTCGATACATAGATGCATGTGTAATGCTCACAAGTGTACTTGAAGTGTAGTTTCACTGTGCCTGTGTATAATTTTTCTATTCTATTCTATTCTAGCAGTTAGAAACCAATAGTAATTGTACTTTAGTGTTGAAATGTGCCCCCATTTATATAATAAGCCAATTATTGGAGATTTCTACAATATGACTTGCATTATAGCAGGTTTTCATCTTTAAGAAACCAGGAGGGTAACATTAGAAAATAACAGCCCGGCCTTTCCAGCAAAGGCCCAGAGATTTCCCTTCACTCACTCTCCAAAGGAGGTCAACGCGGCTCTGTTGAGGAAGCGCTGCTGGAATTTGGCGCTTTATAATTAGAAGCGCTGATAGAGGAGTCAGTCCTGATTGTCTGCCACTTTAATTTAATGTGCATATAAAGAAGGAAGCAGTGTAATCAAGGTTCAATTAACCGATGACTAAATCTCTCCCACCCCTGCAGCTGCCGTCCGCTCGCATCCCACCCCACGGCCCCCTCGTGTGGCCACCAACAAGGGCTACTTGTGCTTTCCATTCGCGTAATCTGCTATAATCAGGAAACGTATGAATCTTCCAGCCATATGGCCACATCACATGTGTCTCTTATAAAGACACGGCAATGAATCTCCCACTTATGCGGATGCATGTCACATGTGCGCCGAACGCGCTTCCATACTGATAGAATTAGCACGAGGAAACCGCTAACCAGCGTTATGTGTCTGATGCGCCTCAAGTGCTCCATATTTCCTGCGAGACATTTAGGGAATATTAATCATAATGTGATTAATTTCCCCCGTCCACTCGTGCGCGCCTCTCGTTGTTTTGGCGGTTTGTGTTGATGTCGCCATGTGAACTGTGTTTAAACTCACACGGATATGAGTTTGTGTGTGTCACGTCTGTGTGTGTTTAAGCAGCTCTGGATGCTCTAATTGGTTTAGCAGCCAAAGGGAGTCAAAGGGCAGCGTAGCGTATCGAGACGCAACGTGAACCTGATGCTGGGAAGGATGCTTTCTGTCGGCTGAGAGGGAAGACCATGTGTGGGGGCTTCCTGGAAAACTCTTCTCCAGCCCCAAACACTATTTCTTCTTTCGCTTGTATTCCTTTCTTAATCCGTTTCCCTGTTTTTTGACCTTTTCACCAGACCTCATGCTCCATGTTGTTTAAAGAGTGTTTATTTTTCTAAGCTAGAATGTAGTCGAAGGTGACCTGTTTGCATTACTAGTGTATGTAGCAAACTATTTTTTAAATACATGTATTTTTTTAATATTTTGATATTACATTTATTTATTTATTTATTTTTGTTCTTTATTTTATTTTATTTTTTTTTTTAAATGAGGTGTTATGTGATAGTTGGTCAAGAAATACTAAAACAAAACAATTTTATTATTTTATTGAATTACTTTTCTATATTTATTTTCAGGGTTATTATGTGATACTTGGTCATAAAAATCTAAAAAAAAACATGTATTCATTCTTTTTTTTTTTTTTTATAGGGTTATTATGTGATAAGTTGTAATATACTGTAACCATTTCTATGTAAGTTATAATGTAAGTAATGGTTTCAAACAGTAGTAGGCTACATTATTGTCACATGATCTTACTTGGTCTAAGATGTTTAGTTAAGAGTAGTGCCTTTTGTAAGTCTAATAATGATTGTAAGAGTTAAAATCGAGGCTCCATTTCATTCCTCATACTAGGAACGGAGGGTCAAGTCAAGTGCATTGCATTGTTCAACATTTTGATGAATTTAGTAGGTCATTCATGGCAAAGTATATGCATTTTACTGCAAAATTAGCATGAGTGGTATGAAAGTATTCAAACAGTCATTAATTGAGTTGATTGCAAATACCACAAACAATGCAGATCTTAACCATTCTTTTTTGTTTTTCAGTGCACAAACAGATAAACAAGCAGCTTGTGCTCACATTAATGTTAGTTTAAGAGCACGGCCTGTGTGTTAGGGATGGGAGATCACGTACTTGGCTCTGTTCGGGTGGTTGCTCATTATTATTCATGAGCGTGGGGGTGTTTCTGGGGCCTGGGGGCGGGATTATCTTCTCCCTCAGTGCTTGTTGTGCTGGAGGCCTCGGAACAGGGGTCTGTTTGGCACTGCCGCTGGGGTCTGATGGGTCTGGCCTCGCTCCCCCGTCTCTTTCTTTTGCTGTATCACTCTTTCTGGCCACTGCTAATCACTCTGGGACGCTGGCTGTGCTCTGTGCCTGGCACCAATTCACTCTCTGTCCCTTCCCTCCGTTTTTTTTTCGGACTGTGAGAATGACCTGCCGTGTGAGAGGAACTTTTGCTGTTGTACCATTTGATAACTCAGAGCATTAAATATCTGCAAAAGCGTTCAAAGTTAAAGTATTTGGTAAAGTATTTGACACTCTTAAACACATGCCAAAAAGATCAAAAAGCATCAAATCTTTGAAAGATATCACAGACTTTTGCAAAAAAAAAAAAAAAAAGAAGCTTAATAATACAAAATGTGATTATGCTTAGTTCAAAAATACAAATAAAATCCTTCCATCTTGTAGTCTTTCATAAAATAAGAATAAAGATTTTTTTTTTCTTTTTGCATATGTATCAGTTTTAATGTTCTTATAGAAATAACAAAAGCAGTCAAGCACCAGGAAATTAGGATCAAGCATAAAATAACGTGAAAATCAGCTGAGAATTGAACAAATCATTGTGAAATCTGGTGATTAAGAAAAAATACAAGACTTGTTCACCTTAGAAATGGTTCTAGAAAGCAAAAATGCAACAAAATGCATCATATTTTGTGAGAAACTATGACATGCTTAAGCAAAACAGGCACTATATTCTGGAATCAGCACCCAAAAATACTAAGAAACAAGTACTGGACTTCATTTAGCAAATACAATGCACGGTGTCTTCACAAAATTTGTTTGAGAAACTAAATGCAACTTTATATTTTGCCGTAAAGGTTGCATAAAAAGCAAGTTGTCCTTTATTGGTCATTTTACATGCAAGTTGGCCATTCCTGCTAAACACCTGCTTCTGTCTTTGTGTCTCTCTAGGTGATGAGTATTTTGAGTAACCCCAGCGCCGTCCCATCCCAGCCTCAGCACGATTTCTCCATCTCTCCTCTCCACGGCAGTCTGGAGGCGTCTAACCCCATCTCAGCGAGCTGCAGCCAGCGTTCAGACCCCATCAAGAGTGTGGACAGTCTGGCCTCCTCTCAGTCCTACTGTCCCCCCACATACAGCGCCACCAGCTACAGCATGGACCCCGTCACTGCTGGATACCAGTACAGCCAGTACGGCCAGAGTATGTACCGCCCCTCCATTATATGCTCTGTGTGTGTCTGTATGTCTCTGCTGTTGAAAATGTGTCGGTAAGTCTCGCCAAGGGTGCATTTATTTCATCAAAAATACAAAGAAAACAGTATATATCATTACGATTTCAAATAACAGTTTTTTTTTTTATTTGAATATGTTTTAAAATGTCATTTATTTCTGTGATGCAAAGCTGAATTTATAGCATCATTACTCCAGTCTTTAGTGTCACATGATCCTTCAGAAATCATTATCATATGCTGATTTGCTGCTTAAGAAACATGATTATTATTAATGTTAAAAACAGTTGTGCTGCCTAATAAAAATTGTGGAAATCATAATATATTGGACTCTTTAGTTAATAGAAAGTTTTTTAAAAAACTGCATTTATTTCCGATTTTTTTGTAACATTATAAATGTCTATCATTATTAATCATTCATCATTTTTGATCAATTTAATCCATAACTGCTAAAAAAAAAAGATAGATAGATAGATAGATAGATAGATAGATAATATAAAGAAAAAAATAAAAATTTTAAAAGTTAGTATATATCGTGTTTTGGCCTTTTTGTGGTCCAAGATTGTTGCGATAAAGTAAACGAAAATCTAAATGCTGGTCTTGGTTCTGGACAGATGACTCAAAATCACCTATTTTACATAATTGGTCTAGTTTATGGTTTCGTTTATAGCTTGCATTTAATGCAAAAGCCATTCAGCTCAAATTAGTTAAGTTAATTGTTTTCCATAAACTGTTTGTGGTTAGTACTTTTTTTTTTTTTTATAAATTAATACTTTTATTCAGCAAGAATGCATTAAAGGGATCAAAAAGAATAGCAAAGACAGTAAACGTTACAAAAGATTTCCATTTTAAATCAGTGCTGTCCTTTTGAACTTTCTATTCATCAACAAATCTATTAAAATGTACCAGTTTCCACAAAGCCATTATTAATAATTGATCACCTGTAATAACTGATAATAAATGAGCAGCAAATCAGCATATTATAATTATTTCTGAAGGACACTGAAGACTGAAGAAATGATGCTAAAAATTAAGCTTTGCATTACAGGAATAAATGACATTTTAAAATACATTCACAGAGAAAACAGTTATTTGAAATTGTAATAACTTTTCAAAATATTACTGTTTTTACTGTATTTTTAATCAGATAAATGCATCCCTGGTGAGCCAGTACAGCACGCGCTGATCTTCTCAGTAGGGAATCCACTATAGTTTAGTCACACTGATGCCCTGTGCGTATCGACAGTTAGAGTGTGTTTCCTCTCTGAGGGTGAGCAGTGCCCGTCTCTCTGACCCCTCTGCCCATCAGAGCAGGGCAGACAGATGCTCCTGATAAAGACCCCAGCACTGGCCCCGGGCTCCACTGTTAGTCACAGTATTCTTCCCTCGAATGGGAAACGGACACTTCAAAGCCCACTTTTACACCCCAAGGGTCCTAATGTCCTTTTAGTCACCTCTCACAAACACACACACACACACACACACACA